ATATATATATATATATATATATATTATATATATATATATGTGTGTGTATTCATTTCTGTATGTATAATTCAGTAAAATATGAAACATCAATTTTGCCAGAAAGTTAGATAGATATGAAGATGGCAAATATATACGAAATATGATATAAATATATATATATATATATATATATATATATATATATATATATATATATATATATATATATATATATATATATATATATATATATATATATATGCCTTTTATTTGTCTCTTTTATATTTCGATATATATTTGCCATATGACAGAAAAGTAGATAAATGTTGAAAGATTGATCAATAGACAATGACAGAATCTTCATAGCTACCTACCTACCTATATATATATATATATATATATATATATAGATAGATAGATAGATAGATATGAACGGATTAAAATAGAGCTTATATAGATAAATATCTAACTGTATATATTAGAGTGCGAGGGAAACTATTAACATTTGATATAAAAGATTATTGCTAGAAATGTTGAGATAATATATATATATATATATATATATATATATATATATATATATAGTTATGTTGAAATAACATTATATATATATAGTTATGTTGAGATAATATATATATATATATATATATATATATATATATATATATATATATATATAATACATATGTATGTACGTATGTATGTGTGTCTATGTATCAGAATGTCATCCCAAAACAACTCAGAAGTAAATCACTCTCCCACCACGAAACTTAGTCAAACAAGCATAAATAGAATCGATTTTTTAAAAAAACTTAACCTGTTTGTCTGATGATCGCAAAAGCGTAAAATCCCAAGGTTACAAACTCATATCTATACAACTGAACCGACAGTCTGATTTTTCTGCTATGTATTTAAAGATAAAATATAACGAAAAATCTGCAATATTATTGGCCCTGACATGGCTTCTCCTCTTCAGTCTCTCTTCTACCGGTGTAACGTACCTGCCCTATACCTTTTCTGTAAACATTTTCATGATAATTGTCCTGATGAGCTCTCCTTTTTTGTATCTAGACTTCATAATAATGCTTTCTTTTTTTCTCACATTCTCTCACTCTCTCAGTAAATCTTTCGGCTTAGTGGCTTTCTCTCCTTGATTGGAGTCATTTCCGAATGTTTGGACGAAGCATATGAAAATATACAAACTCATTTTCTTTACGTTAGTGTATAATCAAGAACATTTTAAAACTGACTTTGTTCATATGGGCATATCTTCATACATACATACAGGAACACGCACGAACGTTTATACATATATTTATTTTCATTTACCTACATACATATATATACGTACATATACAGATATATTTTATGTACTAATTACTACCAATGAACATACACACAGACACTTACATATACCCGTTTGATCAACCACCGAGACTTAGGCACACACACACACACACACACACACACACATATCAATATATATATATATATATATACCTAAAGAGTCAGGTAAACCTACGGATGGTCAAGGTACAACTAGAGGTTTTTTTCCTTGGACTCTGAGCTTGAATTCTGGACGATTGTTTTCGCCTCAATTTCATGGTCTTATTTCTTTCTTTTTTTTATTCCTCATTTTTTTTTAGGTACTGGTTTGTTCAAATACAAGCCCGAAATACATAAGGTTTTTCTAAGAATACCACTATATATATATATATATATATATATATATATATATATATATATATATACAAATATAGGTAACTATACTCGTTTCGAAAAAACCCTCGAATTTTTGATTTGCCAATAATCAAATCAACCTCGAGGGGAAAAAATGTTTTGAAAAAGAAAGAGCTAGAAATATGAAAATCTGTCGAAAAAATCGCACAGATACAGGTATGAAGCCCAAAGAAAAAACCCCGACACGAGTAAACAACTAACTAACAAAAGAGCTCAAAAGAGCCGGGTTTCCCTGACGATCCGTTTAGGTGAAACCTGGGTAGGTTTTTCTGGCTCACTAGGTTTATTTATCTATCTATCTATCTATCTATCTATCTATCTATCTATCTATATATATATATATATATATATATATATATATATATATATATATATATATATATATATATATATATATATATATATATATGCATACATGCATATATATATATATGTGTGTTTGTGTGTGTGTGTGCGTTTGATATGTATGTATTTTATCCTGATTCACTTATGTTTTTTGTAAGTTATATAACCCCAAACCACATCAAGATTTCAAACATCAGTATCGTGGTTTATAACAATTGGCTACGTAAAATTAATTGCTATAACATCCCCAGTTGATAGTTGATTAGAAGAAGAAACAAAAAGAAACGTTCGAATGTGTTTTGATTGAATCGGTGAATTGCAAACAAATACATTTTGCTCTGATAAAAAAGTACGTTGTTCAAAGAACAATCTCTCTTCATATTGTAAACATAGTCATTCCTTTTCATTGGAATTCTTTGCCTATTTTTTCTTTTTCATTTTGAATCGCAAAATGAAGGACGAATTTTCAATGTAATGTAATTTGAATTATTGTCCTGCATTTGTAACGAATAAAATGGAAGCAATATTTTAATCTGTTATTGTAAATGAGCGTACAGATGTCAATCCACTTTCCATAGCATCGTAATTTCCTATTTTGTGGCTGGTAGTGAACAATTTTAATATATTTGAAGAATAAAAAGAATAACAAACAAAAAATCCTAATAAGATAAAGAAGAAAATCATTGATAATGACAGTTGTCATCTTTGATAAGAGAAATGTTTAATTTATCGCTTCCATTTCGATAGATAGATAGATAGATAATGATCAGATTAAGATAGCTAGCTAGCTGGCTGGCTACCTAAATAGATAGATAGATAGATAGATAGATAGATAGATAGATAATGAACAGACTGAGATAGATAGATAGATAGATAGATAGATAGATAGATAGATAGATAGATAGATAGATAGATAGATAATGAACAGACTGAGATAGATAGATAGATAGATAGATAGATAGATAGATAGATAGATAGATAGATAGATAGATAGATGTGAAAAGGACTGAGATAGATAGAAAGATATTCATACGTGAAAATCATATATAGAATGTAAACAAAAAAACAGAAGACGCATAGATAGATATTAGACTAAGATATATATATATATATATATATATATATATATATATATATATATATATATATGTGTATATATATATATTTCTGAGATGATGTATTATGTACACTATTTACATTATTCGGACTATTTTCCTCGACTTTGTCGTCATATTTATTACAGCGTTTCGGCTGTTGTACGCTCTGGCCTTCTTCAGGTGGTTGGAATGTCGAACTGAACCCTTTATTTCGCTAACTGGGGTGGACTGTTCTAGTTCTGTTCTAGTTATCTCATTTTAATTCCCTTCTCCAAGTTCGCCACTGCCTTAACCAGATATTGAACTCACACATGGCACCGTGGATAAAGGCGTTAGTTAGATCCAGTGACAGAACCCAAAGAGTGTGAGTTCAATACCTGGTTATGGCGGTGGAGAACTTGGATAGGGGAGATAACTGATAACTAATGTCCATGAGACGTGGCACGTGAAACTAGAACAGTCTACCCCAGTGAGCGAAATAAAGGGTTCAGTTCAACATTCCAACCACCTGGAGAAGGCCGGAGCGTAAAATGGCTGAAACCTTGTAATAAATATATCGACAAAGATGAGGACACTAGTACGAATTATATAAATAGTATTTATATATATATATATATATATATATTGTTGTGGTGCGCTCCCTCTAAAGAGTCTATGTTGGACTCTTCCGCCTACTTTAAGATTAGTAGGAGAGAAGGCCTTGTAGGAACAGTCGAATAGATTGAACGCTGGGTCAACCAACACACACTCACTAGACCTGTAATAATCTTCTGTTGTACCTACTGTTAGTATATGATATATCTGCAACACTTTTTTGTTATTTATTTAACCACTTACTTGGTCACAACATATATATATATATATATATATATATATATATATATATATATATAGAGAGAGAGAGAGAGAGAGATGAGCAGACTGAGATAGGTAGATCGATAGTTATGTACAGATTTAGATATGAACAGGCAGCGATAGATAGATAGATATGATAGATAGATAGATAGATAGATAGATAGATAAACTTACAGATAGATAGATATACAGGTTTGTGCACACTCAGATAGGAACAGACTGTGAAAAATATATAGATATGAGTAGATTGTGATAGACAGATAAATCGATAGTTATGTACATAGATATGAACAGGCAGCGGTAGATAGATAGATAGACAGATAGATAGATATACAGAAATATAGATATGAGTAGAAGATCAAAAATAGATCAAGTATGGCTAGGAATCTAAACTAAAATCCATTGATGACGTCATCTTATTTTATACTCCAGATACTAACTTTTTAAACATAATAGCTTAACTCAATGATGTTGAACGAACCATCGAATTCACACACGAATTTGAAACAAATAATTTTCTATCTTTCCTCGATATCATATTAATACGTAACTATAATGAATTAGATTTTTACATTTACCGAAAACCCTCTAACAAAAATGACCTCATCAATTTCTATTCCAACCACAACCTGAGAATAAAATCGGGAATAATTATAGGATTTTACCTTAGAGCCCTTAGGATACGTAGTCCTGTATAGATTAGTGAAGAAGAGAATTATCCTGAGAACATATACAAAAGTATACACTACCCACATCATTTCATCTTAAACGCAAAAAATAAACGTGTTCACAAAATCCATAACAACAAACAAACAAAATAAATACTGCCAAGAAAAATTAAACAAAATTCATAATTCTGCCCTCCAACTCTTCAACTAAACTCGCAAATGGATTAGCCATCTCTAACACGAGGATCGTTATCACCACCTCCAAGACTATCGGAGATATAATCAGGAGGAAAAAATAAAACTAACACCGATTCAGATGTCGGAGATTATCAAATCAGATGTCTACAGTGCAATAACAAGTAGATTGGGGAGACATCACGCGATCTAAATCCTGCATCCATAAATACAAAAGAGACTTGCGATTAGATAAACATTTAAACTCTCTCGTCTTACACCGCAGAGACCCTGTGGCATAATTTTAATTCCACCAATGCCAATCTTATTAAAAAGGAACAAAACCCTTTAAAGAGAAAATATAATGAAAACATATTTATAGCGATATGACCAAATATTAACACATGTTTAAAAAGTAGATTACGTCAACATTTTCACTGATCCTTTATTCACAAGTTATATTATAACTAAGTTTTTTCTTCTAATACATAAAAGCAACTAAGGTGAGAAGGTTATCTATCTATCTATCTATCTATCTATCTATCTATCTATCTCATTCTGTTCATATCTATCTATCTCATTCTGTTCATATCTATCTATCTATCTATCTATCTATCTATCTATCTATCTCACTCTGTTCATATCTATCTACCTATCTATCTATCTCATTCTGTTCATATCTATCTATCTATCTATCTCACTCTGTTCATATCTATCTATCTATCTATCTATCTATCTATCTCATTCTGTTCATATCTATCTATCTATCTATCTATCTATCTATCTCATTCTGTTCATATCTATCTATCTCATTCTGTTCATATCTATCTATCTATCTATCTATCTATCTATCTATCTAAATATGTACAAAACTATGTATGTATATATCTATCTCAGTCTGTTCAGATCTATCTATATATCTATCTATCTATCTCAATATGTTCAATCTCTCTCTGGGAGTAAGAGGAGGAGACAATTAGTGCAGTTTATGAGGATATGTAGGAAAGATAACGGCAGATTTTTTTAAATATTAACTTTTCTTTGGCAACAACTCTCCAAATGGAACTTCCTTCTTACTAGTAGAATGGGAAGGGAATTAATATTTCAATTCTCAATCGTAGTGTTCCCAGAATGAATGACTATTGTATGTTAAAACAACCGTTTCTCATTACTATATACTTTTATAAATCTCGTAAAACATTCGGGGTTTTTTTTTATCATTTCATCTCAAACAAAGCGATAATAAAAATTTTATTGTGAGATTTTTTTCTTTGTAATTCGATCAAATGAATGTAAGCGCAATGCTAGATGGGCGATTAGGTCTCACCATTTTACTGTTGAGCTATCTAAATATAACCGTATCATCTATAGTTTAACAGTTTCTTTTCTCACAATGTAAACTGTCCTTTTATTGTCCTTTCTTATCCCTAAAGTCATTTCATTTTATTTCATACTTAGTATCCCGCTGCGTCTTAATGGCATTATCGCCTTACTTGGGGTGAAATGATAAAAAAAAAAAAAAAAATTACTTAGATGACACACTCAGACACAAAGCCGTGTTTGTTGCCGAAGGTCAGGAATGAGCTGGAGGACATTTAGATTTTTAGTTTTTAAATTCAAGCTCAGCAATTTCCTCTTGTGAATGACAGAGAATCTATTCTTTACGTTTGTTTCTAGATTATAACGTTTATTTAACTGATTTTGCGCTTTCCATCATCTCTGGGTACCATATCTATCTATCTATCTATCTATCTATCTATCTATCTATCTATCTATCTATCTATCTAATTCTTTTCATATCTATCTATCTATCGAATTATTTTCATATCTATCTATCTATCTATCTATCTATCTATCTATCTATCTATCTATCTATCTAAATCAGTTCAAAACTATGTATGCATGTATGTATTTATCTATCTGTCTGTTCATATTTTTCTATATATCTATCTCAAACTGTTCATATCTATCTATCTATCTATCTATCTATGTATCTATCTAAATCTGTTCAAAACTTTATATGTATATCTATCTATATCAGTCTGTTCAAATCTATCTATCTATCTATCTATCTATCTATCTATCTATCTATCGCTGTCTGTTCATATCTATCTAACTATCTATCTATCTATCTATCTATCTATCTATCTATGTCTGTTCATATCTATCTATCTATATATCTCATTCTATTCATATCTATCTATCGATTTCATTCTCTTCATATCTATCTATCAATCTATCTATCTAATTCTATTCATATCTATCTATCTATTTTAGTATCTATCCAACTTTTACGTGCAGGTTTGTGTATGTGTGTGTGTATGCGCGCAATATATATAGACATTGTTCAGGCAGAATAACAGTAGCTAATCGTTGCCATATTGTTGATGGACCATAGCCAAGAGATCACTTATAATATTGAAGTAAAAATTCAGACTCATCCACCCAAAGACTATTTATTTATTTTGACATTTTCCTTCTGAGTAGCTTTTTTTTTCCGAAGCTTACGACATTTACCCAAATTTAGAAACGTGAAAAAGGTCACAAATTATATCTTTACCTGACAATAGATTTTTTTTTCTTTGCAATCTTATCTTTGGCAAAATATAAAAAAAATAAAAATATATGTCTGGCAACGTTATTCTACCAATCGCTACATATTCTCGGCTTTCTGACAAACCATACAAATTGCTAATGGATTGTATCGATTAATATTTGAAAATAGTTGTCTATATAACCCGTGATGTCATAAGTAAACCATTCAACAAAACATTAATTCTCTCTAATAATTACATATGTCGTTGCAGAGTAAAGACTAAAAGCACGCTGAGGAAGTAAGCAATTGCTAGATTTTAGGTGGTATATATGTAAAGTGATATAGAGAATATAATATTAATCATCCAAAAATGATCTTTTAATATTCTTCTGTGTTCTGTTAGAAAACACATGGGAAATATAAATTTGCAAGGTTCTCCACCAGGGGAAAAAACGAACAGATTATCTCGACTCATAGAAGTGTTTAAAATGGCTTCTTCGTGTGTACTCGTTGTGAGTTAAGATTTGTTTGCATAGCAAGGAATGAATGATTACCGAGGTAATATTAGCGTATGTATTTCGGTAAGTTAGCTCAAATACTTTCGTAGACGTTTGGCAGTCAATTAAGTAGAAAGGATTGTCAGGGGTCAAAATTAATGTTAGCATTAATGACAGAATACACACACACACACACACACACACACACACATATATATATATATATATATATATATATATATATATATATATAATACTAATAAACATATAAATGTAAGCAGCTATACTCGTCCGACAAAAAAACCTTGGGTGTTTTAACTTGTAAATGAACAAACCAATACCCAAGGGGGAAAAAAAAGGGAAAAAAAAGAAAGAACTAAGAACATTGTGTGTGCGTGTGTGTTTTGCAAGTATATATATATATATATATATATATATATATATATATATACGCTTCCTATGTTGTGTAGGGTTTATGTGTGTGTTTGTGAGTAGTCTATTTTTGTGTAGTCTAATTGTTTTCGCCAGTATGTGTATATATATTCGTTTCCATAGGTACTTGTGTGTGTGTGCGCGCGCGCGCGTGTGTGTGTATGTGCGCGCTCGTGTGGTGCGACCAGTGTATTTGGCCATAATGTGTGTATGGTGTGTGTTAATGTGTGTTGGGGTTATGATCTAATTATTGCACATTTAAATTTGTTTATGAAGTTTTTTCCTTGTATTTGTAGGTAAGAATAATTATATAGACATACATACATACATACATGAATATATATATATATATATATATATATATATATATATATATATATATATATAAAAGTGAACACTGAGGTCAACACTTAGAGGCGACAGTCTGTTTCATGCTAGATGCAATCGTCAGGCCACCACTAGCATGAAACAGACTGTCGTCTCTAAGTGTTGACTTCTATGTTCACTTTTATATTTACACACCCTCTATCTCTCATATTGAGCACTTTATCCCATAAATATATCACGCCTTAAGACTATATTTCTTCATATATATATGTATATATATATATATATATATATAAACTTATGGTTGTTCGCTAATTTCTTCATTCGTTTGTCAATCAGTTATTTCGTTAGCATGTACTTTACGTACTGCCAATACCTCATAAATAATGATCTATTGCGTTTTGGGTCATGAGGAAAGACCGAAAAGGCATATCAGAGACGCTAATTGTTTTCAGTGAGCAAAAAAAGAAAGATGGCTAAAATAGAGAAAGCGACAATGCTCTCGTGTGGTTAACGTCTGTTTCAGTGAGAAGGAATAGCTTGTCAATTTTAAGCCTTTTCGCTAGTACTTTAAAAAAAAAATATACTGCCTTCATACTGATGACTGTTATTGCAACATTTTGTTAAAATTCTTAAGCTCAAATATGTACCGATACAATAGGGTAAAAACATACGAATCTTCCATGCTTAAAATATTGCTGCCACATATGATTTGGTGCCCATAATATTTACCTTGAGCACCTTGATAAAATCCAAAGAATAATCAGCAATATTATCAGTCCTGATCTGGCATCTCGGCTTCAGTCAATTTCCCACCGCCCTAAGGTTGCCTCCCTGTATCTTTTCTAGAAATACTTTCATGGTAATTGTTCAAATGGTGGAATAACCCTCGGACTTGTGCATGGAATTATTTAATACTTAACGTGATACATCTTATATTTTCGCAGTTATAAAAAATTATCACAATAATTGTTTGGCACTAATTGCAAGAAAATAGCAAAAAATTTGTTTGCACATAATAAAAATTTTGATCATTGGACTGCAAAGAAGCTTTTTCATTTTAAAGAAAAGGGGAAAATCGTAATGGGTGCATTTTTATCATTTGAATAGTGACGTTAATGTCAAGTTTTATTGACATTTGTAGTTAAACAACAGTATTATGATAAACAGTTTATTTTTTTTTTGTATTTTTTTAAGCGTTTCAACCCCAAGCAAGACGGGAAGCCACTAGCACGCAAGGGGTTACAGAGAGTTGGAGCTAGAGCAAAGAGGAGTGATAGAGGAAAGGATGAAGAGAAGGTTAGGGGATAGATCAGGGCATCTGGAGACGTCGATTGACATTACATTTGAATAGTTGGAGATTATAACTATCAGGGGAATAAGAAAAGGGGAGGGAGTTCCACAGGCGAGAAGTGCGAGACATGAAGCTATTGGAGTAGAAGAGACGGCTACATTTAATAGTTTCGACAGTGGAAGGGTGTGAGCGAGATGCCAGCCTATTTGAACGCTTAAATTCATAAAGTCTGGGAACCATCGAAAGCAGCTCATCGGAGCAGTTACCTTGAAAGTATTTGTTAAAAAGACAGAGGGAGGCGACGGCACCTCTGTGAGAGAGCGACTTCAGACGATATGCCAGATCAGGGCCAATTACATTGCATATCCGTCTTTGGATTTTATCAAGGACCTTGAGACAAACAGAAGGGGCTCCAGACCATATACGGCAGAAAAATTGCAAATATACAGATATGAAATTTGTTTTGTTCATTTCTGTTTTTATTAAATAAATACTTTGACGTGAGAATTTCATTGTTTAAAATATCACCATGAAATTTGAAAACGATAATGATATATTATTTCGTTAACATTAAATGGACATGTTAGAAAAAAGTATATTCTCGCGTTCAAAACTCGTCAGATGACAGCTAACTCTTCCATATATATATATATATATATATATATATATATATATATATATATATATATATATATATATATATATATTCTTGTCTGTGAGTGTCCCAGTTTTTATTTATTTTCTTTGAAATATCGAGACTGAGCAGAAATTTGCGTGAGGAATCGTTTGTCGCTTCGACAGATATTTCATACGGTGAAATTAAATGAACCTAATTTTGTCGTCTCTTGGAAAGTCATTCAGTCGAGAGTTTGAAAGCAGTTTCTAATGTTTTCTTATTTCGTAAAGACAGGTTCGTACAAGGTTGCTCCTTATTTTGACACGCTCTCTCGCACCGTCTTCAAGTTATCTAACTTAGCGAATTCATCTATAAAGTTCAGTTAATTGTTTTATCGCATTTAAATCTACATCCGTCCAATCAAGACCGACCTTTTTATCTACCTATCGATACTCCTTACTCTAGAACGGCGTATTCATCTATCTATCTATCTATCTATCTATCTATCTATCTATCTATCTATCTATCTATCTATCTATCTATCTCAGTCTTGCATCTGTCTCCCTGTCTCTGTCTCTCTCTCTCTATCTATCTTTAACAGTCTGTTTATTATCTATCAATTTACCTATCACCCCTCGTTATTATCTATCTATCTATCTATCTATCTATCTATCTATCTATCTATCTATCTATCTATCTATCTATCTATCTACCATAGTATGTTTATTATCTATCTATCTATCTATCTATCTATCTATCTATCTATCTATCTATCTATCTATCTCTATCGCAGTCTCGTCTCTATCTGTCTCTCTCAGTCTTGTATCTCTCTCTCTCTCTATCTATTTATCTTTGACAGTCTGTTTATTATCTATCACTTTACCTATCACCCATCGTTATCTATCTATCTATCTATCTATCTATCTATCTATCTATCTATCTACCACAGTCTGTTTATTATCTATCACTCTATCTACCCCCTGTCTATGAATCTATCTATCACATTCTGTTAATTATCTATCTATCTATGTATCTATCTCATTCTGTTCAAATCTATCTATCTATCTATCTATCTATCTATCTATCTATCTATCTATCTATCTATCTATCTATCTATCTCATTCTGTTCATATCTATCTATCTATCTATCTATCTATCTATCTATCTATCTATCTATCTATGTCTGTTCCTTCCTATCTATCTATCTATCTATCTATCTATCTATCTATCATAGTTTTTTCACTGACCGTTTCGGGAATATCAGGTTCTGTAATCTTGGATGTGCAGGTGGTGTAATTGATAATCTGTTGGAATTGTTCATCAGAGAGCCGAGTTGTAAATCCCGTTGGCTTCATAAAACCATACGCTCAAAAACCATTGAAAAAGATATACATTCCCCCTCCTCTTCCCCCAGTTATGGGTTAATTAGCAAGACATGTATAACTAAATCATTATTATTCCCCCCCATACACACACAAAATTCTAAAAACCTAAAAACCGCGAACCATACCATTTGTTTAATCTAATTAATGGTACTACAAACTAAATTTACAGAATTTGGTGCCATAATTATTGTGAGTTCTATACTTGGATCGTATAGTTCTTGGACACAATCGAAACGGAAGAACAATAACTGAGAAATAGTAAAAATAATCGATATATACCTTATGATGGTCGGAAGTCACAACGGTCGAAACGTGAAAATATGAATGAGGTCAATAATGCTATTATTAATAGTGCAAATGCAATATCTATCCTATTATACAAATGTTTTTCGCATATTGGTATACACAATTTTTTTTATTTACGCTATTTGTATTCGGTCTATTGTCTTCATCTTGGTTGTTTTTATCACAACGTTTTCCGTCTTTTTGTCCTCCGCCTTTGCTTAGGTTGTGTCGATCTTAGGCAGTCTTCATGGAATTCCGAGCTGAATACTTTATTTAATCTACGGGGATAGACAGTTCTCGTTCCACTGCTCACGTCTAAGCATATCTCGTCTTATCTTATTTTATTTAGTACTTCTCAGTCATTACTCACCCGTTTCGTTAGAGTCGAAGTATGAAATTGCCCGACCCACAAACACTACGGCTTTGTTATCATTAAAATTTAAAAAATGAAAACAATTCTTGTTAAAATTCAAGACAATAGAATCCTTAATAAATTTTATTTATAGAGGCAATTAAAAGCTTTTCTAATTAAATAATGGCATTGTTTTATTTCACTTTTTATTTTACGAGTTGGGGAAAATTTTCAGTAACTAGTTTTACAAAACAGAACTGATGATTTAAATACTCCAAGGAGTTCTGCTTTTAATTGATAAATTTTGAGATTGCAATTTAATTTCTCGAAATTAATTAAGCGGGGGTAGGGGTAACATATGTAAAATTTATCAATATTTAAAAACAAGATTTATGAAATAATTTCATTCATTTTTAAATAAGACTTGAAGGTTTCATTAAAATCTGACAATTATTTGATTTTTGCAAGAATTTCCAAATCAATGCTTTTCAGCTGAAAAAAGACGGAAAAACGCTAATATAAAATGTTACTGATGTAAAAAAGATTTTAATCAACATTTGGAACGTGCTAGAAAGGACTAAAAAATTAAGAAAATAATAAAAAAACACTTTGGTCTTTCCTTTTAATAATAACAAACATTTTCACGATAAAAGTTTTACTCTCTGGGCCTTTGTCCCATATATAAATTGTTCAATTCCCTGGAGGTTATGGAGGTCGATATACACCTGATGAAGGCTGTAGGGTTTCAGCCTAAACGTTTTGATAGCAAAGACAAAGACGAGAACTATGGTCCGAATGTAAATAATTAGGTATTTTTTGAAGTTCCCATTTCAAAGAACTAGACGAGATTATCTCCAGACATTGACAGTGGAATGAGAAGAGTCTACCCTTATAGGTTATATATATATATATATATATATATATATATATATATATATATATATATATATATATATAGTGTGTGTGTGTGTGTATTTAGGCAGCATTTTTTCATTCATACATGTTTCATTAAATAATATAGACAAGTGTTGTCTATTTATTTTATATAAATTCTTTTCATAACGTCTGATAAGCTTAATAACATTATCATTGAACGAAGAAAGAAAATCACAATATTGATACATATATTTTTTTTTTAAACCAATCTAAGCTTTCGGCTTACATAAGCCATTATCAAAGATGACAATTACTGTATAATATATTAAGCAATACACGGACAAGACAGTGATGATAGTCTGTTTCTGTTTACATGGATGATTTCCAAGCAACGATAAACACGTGCATATAAGACGCTGGAAGCGAAAATCACACCACAGCTCATGACGTCACACATAACCACGCGAGAGTGAATTCGAGAAGTATTAAGTATGGGAAGCCGTTGGTATAAACCAATGGCTTCTGTTACCAATTATAGACATTTAAGAATATTGTTGGAGATTTCATAGTTTATTTTGTTCAGATTAGGTTTCAACTGTTTTATGTATATAGCTTCAAGAATTTTCAGTTTTTGTTTATTGTTTTCATGTTTAAGTATAGTTGTGTTTTCAACAAGGATTTTAAGAAATTGTGTATGCGGCCAGGCATGTTGTTTTGAATGCATAAAAATGTTAGTTTTCATTCAAATGTAGTGTCAAGCGTCGTGAAAGCGAGTTTGTGGTGTGACCAACATAAATATTATTTAATCCATTGGAGATACAATCTCCCAAGGGCACTTGAATTTGTAAACTATGTTGTTTTTTTTTTTTGCAGATCGCTAACGGTGGGGGTGGAAGAATCATTGCGAATAATTGAGTTGGATGTATTAGATTTAGTGTAGTATATGATTAACTTATTTTTTTTTTGCTTGGATCTGTGGCCGCATGAAACAGCCTGTCGTTTCTAAGTGTTGATTTCAATGTTCTCTTTTATATATATATATATATATATATATATATATATATATATATATATGTGTGTGTGTGTGTGTGTGTGTGTGTGTGTGTGTGTGTGTGTGTGTGTGTAATATATTATAAATAAAGGGTTCGGTTTGGAATTCGCTGTTGGTTATCGAGATCGATATAAACCTGATGAAGACCGGACAGCACAACGGCCGAAACGTTGTGATAAAAATTGTAAACTCGAGAGCATCTCAAAACAAAGGTTTGCTGTTAAAATGATGAATGAGTTGTGTGATATTAACAAAAGGGGGGTGGCGGTAAGTGGAGATTATGACGTTGACTAGGATAGGTAACGATTGACCTTTCAGATGAAGAGATCTTAACTTGCAGTGTTCCGAGAAGCACACACAAAGGACTCTGTTTCACAAAGTAGCAGCACATGAGGTAAAAGCAACTCTACGAAACTATATTTCTCTATTTGGAACACGGGGGAAATGTGGATGATTCAACACCGTGGAAGAAGCGCAGTGTGTGCTAGCAATGAATGTCTGAACAGGTGAAAACTAAAGACTGAAGATCATTTGGACATTTGCCAAGGAAATAACTATAGATTAGAAAGTGGCTTGGCTATAAAGGTCTGAACTGGTGGGACTAATATATGTAGCTTATCTGAACATTTGACATTAAAATATCGATAGAATAGTAAATGGCCTAGCGGTAAATGTCTGAACTGATGGACGCTAAAGACTGGAGATCATCTGAATATTTGACATAAAAATATTGATAGAATAGTAAATGGCCAAGCTGTAAATGCTTGAACTCTTGAACCCTAAAGATTGGAGATCATCTGAATATTTGACATAAGAATATCGATAGAATAATAAATGGCCGAGCGGTAAATGTCTGAAATGAAAGATCATTTGAATACTTGCCAAGGAAATAACGACAGAGTAGATACTACCTGTCTCGTGGGCGTAGCGGAAAAGGATATCAAGTAAGGTGGAACGACTGAAAGGTAATAAAAATTTGGAAACATGACAGCTTCAAAAAATTTATGTGCCAAAAATTAAATGTGATTTCAAAATTTAAAATATTATTATGGATTACTTGAAATAGCATGCATATATCCCAGTATAATTAGTTATAAATAATTATTGACACATTTTATCATTGTGATATTTTTGCATTATATCGCCTATTAAGAATATAGTAACTAGGATCCGCAAATTTTAGGAGAGAGTTATCAATAATAATGTTCGGACTTCGAATCCTTTGTTATCTTTCTTTAACGCTCTGATTTTATTTTTTATTTTTAAATGTATTTTTATCACATAAAATTTTCCAAAGCGCGAGGAAATTGTCAGTCCGAAAATGCGGCCTAATTAAAAAAAAAAAAAAAAAAAAAAGTTTGGGAATCACTGGAGAAGAATGTGGCTTAGCTGTGAAGTCTGAACTCGTGAAAGCTGGAGTGAATTCAAACATTAGCCATGGAAATAGCGTTAGATTAGAGAGTGTCTTAGCTGTAAAGACTGAAGCTCATCTGAACATTTGCGATGGTAATAGCTATAGAGTAGATAGTGGGTTTGCTGTAAAGGTCTGAACTGTTGAATATTAAAGAGAGAAGCTCATCTGAACATTTGCTATGGAAATAGCGATCTTAGCGACAGGCTTGCGATGCTTTGTCTGTGGGAAAAAGGCTGCAAAATGGAGAATAATTCTTCCACTATAAGACGGTGTAAAAGATCTTGATTTCTATGAAGGATGGAAAATAAGAATTAACTTCAGTCCAGATATGGCAGCAACACGCTAATCTGTCTCTAATCTGACTCTTGTAAAGATAAAATCCTATAGAAAGATTTATATTACAAACCAGTTCAACACTCTTATCTTTGTTTCCAACAAAATCTTCCTGTTTGTTTAGTTTTTAGAAATTGATATCGCTCGTATTTATTCGATATCTCCCGTCAGTAAACCGGCATAGGCTTTGGTTTAATACGGTTAATGGGATCAGAGTTATTAATAGTTCAGAATTTTGCAAACAGAGGCAAAATGGCGTCAAGATGATCCACGACAACTCCCTAGAATGGAATGACGTGATGTTGCATCAGTGTTGTAATCTCCAGCGACGAATCATATATATTTCAACGATGGGCACAGCACTGCATCTAAAAATGATCCCGAGGAACTGGAAATTGATAAGATCTGATTAGAAACAATTTTTAATGTCTGATTCGCTGGAATGAAATAATCATAGCATATGAGAAATAGGTCAATCATCTATTTAAAAATACTGGCAAGTTAGCAACCATGAGAGCTTCAGTTCAATCATCATTCGTGGTTTATTTTAAAAATGTAGGAATGTTAGCAACAATAAGGATGCTTGTTCAATCATCCCGCACACGTTGGGAAGTTAGCAACCATAAGAGTCCGGTTCAATCATGCTCCACGTGGTTTGAATCATGTCGGGATGTTAGCAAATGGTTTGTTCGATCATCCTAATGTCGGGATGTTAGCAACAATAAGAATATTCGTTCGATCATCCCTCACACGTTGGTAAGTTATCAACCATGAGAGCGCCTGTTCGATCATGTTTCACAGGGTTTTAAATAATGTTGGAATGTTAGCAACAATAAGAATGTTCGTTCGATCATACTTCACAGGCTTTTTAAAAACGTCCCAAAATACAAAATAATATTCGGGTCATTGATGTAGGCAATTCGCAAGTTCGCAACCATAGAAATGTTTGTTCGATCCCGTTTCGCAGTTGGGAATTGACGGAAGGTAAACAACCGTAAGAGGAACTGTTCGGACAGCTTCCACAATTTTGCAAAAATGCCGGAGTGGTAGCAACGATAATAAAATCTATTCGGTTATCCTTTGCAGGCTTTTTAAAAATACGAAATGATATTCGGGTGAATGATGGAGGCTATTCACACGTCCTTAAAAATAGTGGGAAGACAAGAAGCATAAGAATGTGTGTTTGGTTTGTTTTGTTTTACGGCATATCAACACCTGAATGGGTTATTCAATGCCGACACGATTTTTATTACTGGTAATATTTTTAATCTATCTATCTACCTCAATCTGCTCATATCTATCTATCTATCTATCTATCTATCTATCTATCTCAATCAGCTCATATCTATCTATCTATCTATCTATCTATCTATCTATCTATATCAGTATATATTGGTTTGTTTTACCGCATATCAACTTCAATGGGTTATTTAATGCCGACACGATTTTTATTGCTGGTAATATTTTTAATCTATCTATCTATCTATCTCAATCTGCTCATATCTATCTATCTATCTATCTATCTATCTATCTATCTATCTATCTATCTATCTCAATCAGCTCATATCTATCTATCTATCTATCTATCTATCTATCTATCTATCACAGTCTCGTCTCTGTATTGTCTCTCTATCTCAGTCTTGTATCTCTCTCTCCCTCTCTCTCTCCATCTCTCTCTCTCTCTCTCTCTCTCTATATATATATATATATATATATATATATATATAAATCTTTAACAGTCTGTTTATTATCTATCAATTTACCTATCACCACCCCTGGTTATTATCTATCTATCTATCTATCTATGCTAATATCTATCTATCTATATCAGTATATATTGGTTTGTTTTACCGCATATCAACTTCAATGGGTTATTTAATGCCGACAAGATTTTTATTGCTGTCAACATTTTTTTTTCAAAAATGTATTGCTGGTAATATGTTTCCTTCAAAAACATATTGCTGGTAATATTTTTTTCAAAAATGTATTGTTGCTAATATATTTTCTTTAAAAAAGTATTGCTGGTAATATTTTTTTCCTCAAAAATATATTGCTGTTAATATTTTTCCTTCAAAAATGTATTGCTGGTAATATTTTCTCCAAAAATGTATTACTGATAATATCTATTTTCTTTAAAAATGTATTGTTGGTCATAACTTTTCCTTCAAAAAATTATTACTGGTATTAAAACCTATTTTTACACTTTCATAGAGTTTTGACCGAAGTTTGGTGGGGTAACTATTTGCCCATAGTTGGGACCCTAACGGGTGCTATACCCCGGGTCAGGGTGGGTTTGGGAACACCAGTAATTAAGAAGTCGTTCCACGCTTCTCAAAACTTCATGGTCAGATCAGAGGCCTTGCTGCCGGATGTAGTTCATCGTCTTACCCAGGACGCGGATGTAGTTTATCGTCTTAGGCAGGACGGGGATGTAGTTTATCGTCATACTCAGGGCATGGATGTAGTTTATCGTCATACCCAGGACACAGCTGTAGTTTATCGTCATACCCAGGGTGCATATGTAGTTTATCGTCATACTCAGGACGTGGATGTAGTTTATCGTCTTACCCAGGACGCAGTTGAAGTTTATCGTCTTACCCAGGACGCGAACTTAATTTATCGCCTTACCCAGGACACAGATGTAGTTTATCGTCATACCCAGGACGCAGCTGTAGTTTATCGTCTTACCCAGGATGCGGATTTAGTTTATCGTCTTACCCAGGACGCGGATTTAGTTTATCGTCTTACCCAGGACGCGGTTGTAGTTTATCGTCTTACCCTGGTCGCAGATGTTGTTTATCGTCTTACCCAGGGTGCATATATAGTTTATCGTCATACCCAGGACGTGGATGCAGTTAATCGTCTTACCCAGGACGCGGATTTAGTTTATCGTCGTTTCCAGGACGCGGATTTAGTTTATCGTCTTACCCAGGACGCAGATGTCGTTTATCGTCGTACCCAGGGTGCATATGTAGTTTATCGTCATACCCAGGACGTGGATGTAGTTTATCGTCTTACCCAGTATGCAGATGTAATTTATCGTCGTACCCATGACGCGGATTTAGTTTATCGTCTTACCCAGGACGCGGTTGTAGTTTATCGTCTTACCCAGGACGCAAATGTAGTTTATCGTCGTACCCAGGGTGCAGATGTAGTTTATCGTCTTACCCAGGACGTGGATGTAGTTTGTCGTCATACTCAGGACGTAGATGTAGTTTATCGTCTTACCCAGGACGCGGTTGTAGTTTATCGTCTTACCCAGGACGCAGATGTCGTTTATCGTCGTACCCAGGGTGCATATGTAGTTTATCGTCATACCCAGGACGTGGATGTAGTTTATCGTCTTACCCAGGATACAGATGTAGTTTATCGTCGTACCCATGACGCGGATTTAGTTTATCGTCTTACCCAGGACGCGGTTGTAGTTTATCGTCTTATCCAGGAAGCAGATGTAGTTTATCGTCGTACCCAGGGTGCAGATGTAGTTTATCGTCTTACTCAGGATGCAGATGTAGTTTATCGTCGTACCCAGGACGCGGATTTAGTTTATCGTCATACCCAAGACATTAGGTATCCTGGGTAAGACTGACAAAGGGACTACTCAGATTGGGTTAATTTCTCAAACAGAAATCGATCCCAATAATTCCACGAACTCATCTTTTGAATTAATAATTACCACGTTCTCTTCGTCAAGTTGAAGACTATCATGTGCTTTGGGGCATAATCCCAAAAGACCCAATCGCGAATGTTGAAATCTTCAAAGATCTGAATCTTGAAAGGTAAATATGAAATTAAAAAAAAATATATATATTTCGCAGAAAATTCTTTAAAAAACACATTTATTTACATTTTTAAAAAGTGATTTAGTTGATAAATATAGATACGACAGGATAAAAAAAAAAAAAATTAAAAGCAATAAATTTAAAAAAAAAATATGAAAAATGTGTATTGCATGGATAGATGATGAGCGATTTAATTTGATTTGTTTGCTTAATGACATATCAACATCTTCTGGGTCATTTAATACCAAAATGTTATATTCTTAGGATATTTGATGTAATAAAAATATAATATGTTATTCTGATTTCACAACAGAATACATGGTAGATTATTCTCCGCTTTTATGCTTATAAATGTTTGTGTGGGCATAATTATTAGAGACAGTGATATATTTTTTATGTTGTAGTTTTCTTGAAGTTATAGTTTAGAAAGCAGTTTGATTTCTTTAAGAAACTGTAGAATATTATATAGATTAATGCCACAAAATAATTCTTTAGAATAGAGGTGGATTCATATCTTTCCAAAAGGAAATTAACAATTCCAAAACATTATCCATTACACCACCCACACATCCAAACTTAATGCACCTGTCATGCCCAAGCGATCGCCCATCTATGTACTGATCAGGCTTGAAGTTGCTTAACTTCGGTGATCATACAGTGTTTTAACGAGAGGTAGCCATAAGGCTTTTATACCACCCGCACATTCAAGCTTACAGCACATATTATTCCCAAGCGGTCACCCATCTGGTTACTGAGCAGGTTCGACGTTGCTTAACTTCGGTGATCGTACAAGAACCAGTGTTTCAACGAGATGTGACCGTAAGGCTTTTATACCACTCGCACATTCAAGCTTACTTGTATTCCCAAGTGGTCACCAATCTAGGTAATGACCAGGTTTGACGTTGCTTAACTTCGGTGAAACGTTGGAATCGCTCTTTCAAGGGGATTATTTTAAAGTGTTTGCGGATAAGTTTAATAAATAACAACTATTTTCTTTTTAAAATAGAAAAAATACTGGCGTAATAGTGAAAATTTTGTAGGCTTAGTCTGAGATTTAGAATATGACCACATATATTTAAAGATATGATTCTTTCACATGACCCTATACCTCATGTCCGCAGTGTATGCTAATTACAGTATTCCCTCTTCTGATCAGAAACTGTAATGATATGTTCGGATAATTCCAAATTCCGGTTAACTAAATACCGGAACTAGCTTAAAAGAATGAAGAAAAAAAAGTTATTTTCTTAAAGAAATTTAACATTTATATAATCAAATAACATTTCCAGACATGTTCTTCTAGGTTTTATCCAGTTTCTTATTTTCCTTTATGATAAAAATGCGTCATTTTTCGTTTGTTTCCGGCTGACCTCGCTTCCGGATAATCGAGTTCATATTAATCAAATATCGAAAAATCGAGTTACGATCTGTATTAATTCAGTGTTTCACTTGTTTTATTCGGCTTTTTTTCTTCCAGTTATTGAATTTCGACCTTCCATATTTCGATCATTCGTTTTTGGAATTTTATCCTTTATCTGTCTTCGTTTGGGGGCACACCAGTCAGAATGACGCTACTAAGATGAAGAATCGGAACAATCTGTATATAATGCCGACTTCTGATAAGTTCCTTCTTCAGCCATTCGCTTCTTCCACTGTCCGAAAATCAGCTGTGTCAACAGTAAACTGTCAAACTCAGCAGTATATTTATTAACGCCACCCACTCAGCCATTTGAAACTTAGAAGAGCTTCCTAATGACACCCACCACTAACAGCGGAAACACTTGAACATATAATATTTTACGATGTAAAAGAGTCTTGAATTGATAAGAACCAAAATGTTTGACAGAAGTAGATGAGAAGGAACTGATTACACTTTTACCGTTATCAGTCTTGGAAAAAAAAAGAACTCTTTTAAAAGCATTTGTTACAATCAGAGATGCTTACAGCATTAGTCCGTTCCCAAGTCAACAGACATAACAATAAAAATGTTAATAAATTAAAAGAAAACTTTGAAATCTCATTTCATTTAAAACTAGCAACCATACCCAGCTGGTCGATCAGAAAAAGCGTTCAATTAGAATGGAGCAAAAACAGCATTATGTTTAGATGTAACAGAGTCTATCTATATTACCTTAAAATACTTTAATTAAAAAACATTTTGAATTAATGCAGTTACTGATATAATAGAAGTAGTCTGTATTTATTCAATTAAAGTTAGCCGAGGACATGAAGGGGTAAAACGGGCAACACGAAGACCCACTTCAGACCACAATTATTTTGGAGCTTTTGAAATTTAGTTTGTCAGTGTGCTACCAGGGATGTAAAAGAAAATACATTTATAAAGCAATTGTTAAGTTTGATGATAAATTGATTGAAAGATCAACGAAAAATAAAACAGAAACCAGTAAAAATCGCCATTTTTCGCTATTTACGCGGGTTTTCACTATATGGGTGGACTCAATTATCAAGTTAAATAACTGTTAAACAGTCAACTTATTGTTGACTACAACTGAGCGAAGATGTATTAGTTATTACGTTCTAGTGGCACTCTCGCATTGCTTAGGGTGAACTGCTTAAAAAATGTTATCAGTTCTCTACTAGGTATCTATGCTGAAAGAACAACTATTCACTCCTGCCTTTATAGTAAGTCTGATCGGTTCCATAAAGTCAAATTAGAAGTTGATCTAAAAAAATTACATACAATCTGCTGTTAGCTAGGGCAAGGAAGGGCTTGTCAATTTTAATGAATACAAAACGAAATTCCTCTTTTTTAAATGTCTGAGCGAACCATTTTTGCCTTATATCAATATATGGTTCTAGGATTGACACATTGTGCCATTTGTGATTGATCTTTTCCGCTGACATGAAGTGGAAATATTATATTGAATCAATTTCTAGATCTTCTGCTAGGAATATTGATTCACGGTGTCGTGATGGACAATTATTCTCACCAGAATCTAACTTACACATTTATAAGTCTACCATTCGACAATGCATTAAATACTGCTGCCATATCTGACCCGGTGCTCTTGCTATATATTTGGAGATTCGTGATAAAATCCAAAGAAAAATCTACAATGTTATTGGTTCTGACCTGGCATCTCTGCTTCAGTCTCTACCCCACCGCAATAACATTCCTTATGTCTTTTCTATAAATACTTTCATAGTAATTGTCCTGGTGAACTTTCCTCTATGATACCAAGTCCATGAATGTAAACCAAGTGCGAGATTGGCGACAAGATCTCATCATTATACAATTGGAATAGCTAGAGGGAACCGTAAGTTCTATGCTAGCAGTTTCTTCTCTTGCACTCCCCGGCTTGTTAAACTCTCTTCAGATTCATTGCTTCCTTGTCAACTTTGATATTCAAAAACTTAAATGCAATGACAATCGTTATATTCTGTCTTCTAAACTCATGTTCTTTTATTGTCCTCTCTCCTTAATAGTGATTTTCTTCTATAATCGCACGCTCAGTAACCCATTTATTACCTTACATGGAATGAAATGATTTTTAAAAAATCATATTATATCCATATGCAGGCCTTTTGTTCGGAATATAAGTTCGAGAATATTTTAATGTCTTTCCCAAATAAGACAAATCTCTAGTAATTTGATATGACACAATAGCAATTATTATATGCTAATCATTTGATAGCAACCTCAATTTACTTAAGATATTGGACGTATACCAGATGTGATAAACAAGGTCAGAGTAAAAATGTAGTAATTTATAAGTTTCTGCAGCATTCAGTCATCTTCAAGATCTTCGGACGTAGTATTCTTTGTGAATGGAGATGAAATACCATAAAAATGGATTTTCTTATTTGGTTTAAACAATGGACAAAATTCCTTTACTGTTAAGTTGCCTGAGTAGTACCTGATATGAAAAGCAAAAAACAAAAAAAAACACACTCATTTCCTTAGGAATAAATTCAGGTCACTTTATAAATGAGTTCTGTGGATAAATCAATATTGTTACGAGTATTTTCTTGGTCATATAATTCGCGATGTCGTCTTCGTTTAACGTCCTTGAAATATATCCTAACCCTTTGATCGTACTGTCCCTGACACAATTTGATAAAGCTAGATTACTGAATGTATTAAACTACAAAAACACATATAGCTAGTTTTCAAAACTATCAAGACAGACTACGTAAACCTTAATAATGAGTTACCTAGTGAGAGACAAGTGGACATTTTTATTACGGTGCCCTCACAATACAAGGTCCACTAAGAGGATTAATGAATAAGATGGTCGTATGAGCATAAGAGGAAGCGGAGTTAAGAAGTACAGTTTATGTGTATAGGTAGGAAAGATAACGGTAAAACTTAGGAAGATAACATTGGAATTGGGATAATTAGTCCCGGTGTACGTGGCATGATGGGTCTTAGCTTTGGGCCTCTGAACTGGTGGAAGAAAGGAAAATAGATCGTAAAAACATTTGTCATGTTAACAGCCATATTGTAGCGATAGGCATGGGATGCTTCATCTGTGGCGAAAGAAATTCTAGAGTGGAAAATAATCCCTCTCATGGTAAAATTTTTTTCTTCAAAAATGTATTGCTGGTAATAAGAGTTTTTTGCAAAAATGTATTGATGGTAAAATTTTTTTTTCAAAATTGTATTACTGGTAATTTTTTTTTTTCAAAAATGTATTGCTGGTAATATATTTTTTTCCAAAACGTATTGCTGGTAATATTTTTTTTCAGAAATGTATTGCTGGTAATATTTTGTTTTCTTCTAAAATTCATTGCTGGTAATATTTTTTTACAAATATGCATTGCTAGTATTACAACTTATTTTTACACTTTCATAAAGATGTGACCCCCAGTTCGGGGTTAACTATTTGACCATATCTGGGACCCTAACAGGTGCTACCACCCAGGCTCAGGGTGGACATGGGAACACCAGCAACTAAGATGTGTTTCCACGCTCCTCAAAACCTCCTAATCAGAGGCCGTGCAGTCGGATGTAGTTTATCGTCTTACCCAGGACGCGGATGTAGTTTAACGTCTAACCCAGGACGCCTCATTTGGCCGGAGGGGGTTTTACCCCTCTGCAGAGGTGCAGTCGGCGTATTCTTAAGCTTCAGCGTACAGAGCGATCGGGAAGTTCGTTTTGAAAGATAGATTTTATAAATTTTAACTGAAGAAGAGACTCAAGTGGAGATGTGGTTCTACAGAAGGATGCTGAGGATATCATAGACCGAGCGTGTGAGAAACGATGAGGTCTTGGAAAGGATGCAAACAAGGAGGCAAGCTTATACTTAACATAAGGAAGAGGCAGCTGAAATTTCTGGGACATGTAATGAGAAAGGAGGACCTGGAGAATCTGATACTCACAGGCCGAAAAGAGGGAAAAGGAGACAAGTGAAAGCAACACATGACATACCTGGCGGGCTTAAGCAAGGGGATGGCAGAAGGCTGTCTTAGGGAGTTGGATGAGGCACGAAACTTATTGAGAGCCACAAGGATAGGGAGAAGTGGAGAGCCATGATCTCCTTTGTCTTGAAAGGACACGGTGCATAAAAAGAAAGAAACGCTGGCTGCTCGGTGAATGAAAGCTGAATATTTCCTGTCATGGGTCTTTACCCATAACTACAGAATGAACTCTTCCTAACACTATGTATACTCAAGAAAGGGTACGGCCGATCTTTTCTCAAGAGAAAGAAGGTCGAATCGAGCTCGAGCTTCTCGGCCTACGGGCTCAGGGAAACCCTGATAAAAATGTCGAACCCTCTGCCTCTGAGCAGAGAGGAATCCGGACGAGGCTCCGTCAAAGAGCAGAGTTGACCCACCCGATCCCGTTTATACGGGTTCTA